TTTAAGGGTCTTTGTCAATGGTGGAAGCCAGAAATTTTTTCTAGGGGCAGGCCAAAAGAAATTTCAACAAAAAAATTCATGCGTCTTTGAATTGATTTAAAGTCAATAAAAAGGAAAATTTTAATAAAAAAATTACTTTAAACTAAGATTTATTAATCTTTAATGATAAACTAATATTCATTGATAGTATAGTATTATATATATGATATCAACTAAAAATAAAATAAACATATATTAAATAGAAAAACACTGATAAACAAAAAAAAAATAAAATGTTATTAATGAGCAAAAAAGAGTATTAATGAATAACTATTTTATAAAACGATAATATCAAATAATTTTGTATTTAATTAATCTTTATTTTTTATTATATTATATTTTATCTTTATTTTCCTCATTTTTCTCATAATCACTAAAACTAATATTTGAAAAAAAAATAACGGTTAAAAATTGATTAAAATGTATGAAATAAACAAAGATTGAAATAATAAAAATATAATTTTATGGACCAAAGTTTCTATTTTTTTAAAAGTTTAGGGGGCTTGTGCTTCCCTTATTTTCGACCAGTAGTCCCTATTTTACTATTTGAAATAGTGCAAACTGTAAAACAATCGACTCATTCATACACCACTAATAGAAACTTGTAGTAGTTACAAGTCAACTCATATGGTGTAACACACCAGAGACACTACAATGCCAAACCTAATAGTATAAAGCCCTTGAGCATACGATAATAGAGCAATCTACTGGTTAGATAGACATTATAGTTGACCTTGACCATAATCTGACAATAAAATCGCAAGTCAACATAATTTAATACGATTCAAAGATAGATAAATATTGAGATAAGTTATGACTAAGAGCTTCTAAGGAAACACAGTGAACACCAACTACCTTTCTTACTCTGAATCTTTAGTAAGAAGGATAAAAAATAACAATAAAACCCATACGGACTATACTTGAGAGAATGAACTTCCACATAAATTAGCTTTAAAGTTTAAAGAGAGATAAGAACCCTTGCAAAAAAATCTAAAAGATAAAATAATATCATGATAAAAGAAAAGAAAAACAAAGAATCAAAAAGCCAAAAAATGAAGAAAAGATGGGAACAAGGAAGAGAAGAACGGCAGCTAGGATTCTGCTCTCTTTTTTTCCTTTTTCTTTTTTCAAAACTAATTTTTCTTCCGATAGTTTTAAATGTATAGCCTTACTTTAGCCCGATGTATTGAAGGAAACTTTTTTTTTTTTTCTTATTGATACCATTATTATGACTCTAAAATAACTCACGAGTGAATCTGACCTTTGGATGATGTTTTTGGGCTAGGGGCGAGATGTTAATGCAGGGATTTGTTTGTATTGTATGTCAAGACTCAAGAGGAATGATTTGGTGGTGTATGGTATGCGGTGATGCTGTCCGGGCAAAAATCAGATGCTAACAATTGAATCTTTTGGAGCCCATCTTGTAGGGACCGAGGGCTGGCCCGGCTGGGGTCCAACATCGATGAGAGAGAAAAAAAAATGTAGGGTTATGTGTATTAGCACTTAAAACAGAGACAATGGGGAATATTGCTGAAATAGTTTTCATATTTCTATCAAGTTGTATGCTGTACAAATATATATAGGGAGTATATGCCTTGCGTCCTAATAACCTTACTACAAAAGGAAATAAAAGATATGAATAATATTTACAATAATACAGAAATAATTGAATGGAGATCAAAGATTGCTCATGAATTGATTCTTTCCTTAACATGGCCTCGCAAGATGGAGGAACCATCTGTGACTCCAATCTTGGACCGCAAAGAAATGAAATGATTGCTTGACAATGGTTTTGTAAGTCCATGAGCTAGTTGATCCTTAGAAGAGATGTGGGAAACGTGGAGAAGTTTTTGATCCATGAAGTCATGAACAAAGTGGAGGTCAATAGCAATGTGTTTCATACGTGAATGCATGACAGGATTGCGACTAAGATAGGTAGCACCAAGATTGTCATAATAGAGCACATGTGGTGTGGATTGATAGACACCAAGTTCATGAAGAAGATTGCAGACCCAAACAACCTCAGAGCTAGTTGCTGCTAAAGCCCTGTATTATGCTTCTGTTGAGCTTTGAGCCATGGAACATTGCTTAGTTGCTTTCCAAGATACTGGATTTGAGCCAAGATACTGGATTTGAGCCAAGATACTGGATTTGAGCCAAGATACATCACATAACTAGTTGTAGAGATTAGAGTATCCTTATCACTCGCCCAATCGGCATTAGAAAAACCATGAAGAGACAAAGATGTTTATGGCCGAATTAGAAGACCATGAAATTTTGTTCCATTGAGATATCGAAGAACTCGTTTCACGGCCTGCCAGTGAGCATCAATGGGGCTATGCATGAATTGAGACAATCGGTTGACAACGAAGAATAGATTTGGGCGAATAAGAGATAGCTACTAAAGAGAACCCACAACTTGCCTGTATACAGTTGGATCCGTGAGCGAATGACCAGACAGTTGTTGAAGTGTAGTGGTAGAACTAAGGGGTGTGCTTACTGCCTTTGCATTCTCCATGCTTGTGCACTGCAAGATGTCTTGGATAGACCTTTTCGTGAAAGAAATAGACCAAAGGCAGCTTGAATAGCTTCCATCCCAAGAAAGAAGTCCAATTGACCAAGGTTTTTCAAGGAAAATTTGGAATCCATTGCAGTAATCAAGTTGTCAATAGCTTTAGGATTGCTTCCAGTGACAAGGATATCATCTACATACACCAGGACATAAAGCCAATTAGCATTGTGATGATAAATAAAAAGGGAGGAATCTGACCTTGAATTGGTAAAACCATGCGAAACTAAAAAGTCTTTTAGTTCCCTAAACCACATCCTTGGGGCTTGTTTAAGCTCATAGAGGGCTTTGCGCAACTGGCATACATGGTATGGAAGATTAGGATCAATGAATCCTACTGGCTATTGCATAAACAATTGCTCATCAATTTTCCTATGAAGAAAGGCATTGTTAATGTCCAATTGATGAATTTTCCAACCTCTGCTCACTGCAATGGATAGAACTATCCAGATGGTTGTCGGTTTGATAACAGGACTAAATGTTTCAAAGTAGTCTGATCTTGGTTTTTGATGAAAGCCTTTAGCCACTAGTCTAGCCTTATAGCGTTCAACTTGTCCATCCTTACCTCTTTTCACCCTGAAAACCCATTTATAGCTAATAACATTTTGATTAGGTGCAAGAAGAATAAGATCCCACGTACCTTGACTCACCAATGCATTGAATTCCTCAGACATGGCTTGCCTCCATTGATGATCTTTCAGTGCTTGACTTACACATGTTGGCTCACTTTCAAAACAAGGTGTTTCTGCAAGATAAAGTTGCTTGGGTTTAAAGATTTGGTTTTGGGAACGTGTGATCATGGAGTGAGTTTTGGTGGGTGGTGGTATTGGTGGAGGAGAAGGTGAGGTAGATATTGTGGGGTGAACATCAGGGTATGATGGAGGTGAGTTGTCTAAGGATGATGGTTGATTCGGAGATGGAGTCTTAGATGTGGAGGTGAGGTCAACTGAGGACAAGGAGGAGGATGTATCAATTGTAGGTGATGCAGGTAAGTGTTGAATTTGGGGATGAGATGGTGGTTGTGAGGAAAGAGGCGAAGTAGATGGGACGGTTGCAGCAGTGGGCAAGAAATTAGAGATTTGGTTTGGTGAATTACTCATAGTAGTAGGATTAGATTCTTGCCAAGTGGACTAAGGTGAAAACCACATGGATTGAGGTGAAATTCCAATAGGTGACAGTGCATAAGTGGAGATTGGCAATGGCATGCTAGTGGTTGGATTTTTTGAGGAGAAAAGATTAGAATTTAAAAAGGATTCTTGATAATTAGAATTAGATATGAAGCATTGTGAAATGATTAAAATGGAAATAATTTTTCATTAAATAAAACATGTCTAGAATAAAAATTTTTTATTTGTTCTGAAATCATAGCATTTATAGCCTAGATTTTCTACTAATAACCAAGGAATAAACACTGACGAGACCAGGGTTGAAGTTTATTTTGCAAATAGGGCCGAAGCCAAAGGTAACATGCACAGCCAAAAATTTGAAATTTTAAATAATTTGGTTTCAAAAGAAATAATTTTTTGAATGGGGATATAAAAGAGAGAGTAAAAGATGGCAATCTATTAATTAAGTAGATAGCAGTGAGAAAGGCATGAGACCAAGAGCATGATGGTAAAGATGCTTGATGAAAAAGAGTAAGTCCGATTTCAACTGTGTCAATTCTGACGCTCACTTATGCCATTTAATTCAGGAGTATATGGAGGTGTAGTAAAATGAGAAATTCCATTTTCGGAGAGAAACTTTCGTAAGCCAATGTACTCACCCCCACCATCAGAGTAAAAATTCTTGATTTTTGTTCCAAATTAATTCTCAACAAGCATTTTAAATTTAGGAAAAATTGTTGAGACTTCCAATTTTTGTTTTAATAGGAAAAGCCAAGTATAACGACTATAAAGATCTATAAACAAGAGGAAATAGTTATAACCATCAACTGAAGAAACTGGAGCAAGGCCCCATACATTTGAATAAATAACCTCTAATGGAGCATGACTCTTAACTGTAGAATGACTAAAGGGCAACCTATGACTTTTTTAGCACAAACAGGGATCACAAGCAGTAGACTCTACCTTGGATGTCACTGATAAACTAATTTCACTAAAAATTTTGTTTTGAACTTTTGAGGATGAGTGTCCTAATCGAGCATGCCAATCTATCACAAATGTGTGTTCACCCACTAGAGCACTTGGTTGTGACTGAGATTGGTTCACAACAGGAAACTCATATACCCCATTTTTGTTTTGTCCACGAAGCAATATTGCCTCGGTACTGCAATCCTTTACAAAAACATGAGTAGCATGAAATTCAACAATAACATTGGCAGATTTGCATAACTAAGAGACAGAAATTAAATTCTTAGAAGCATTGGGAACACATAAAACATTATTTAAGGGAAGAGATATGTTTTCTGTGGAAATTATAGTTTGTCCCACATGTGTAATTTTCAAACCTGAACCATCACCAATTAGGAGTTTGTCAAGGCCAGTGTACTTGAAACGTACAACAAGGTTTGCCAAGTTGATGGTTACATGACTATTTGCACCTGAATCAATAAGCCAATTATTAGTAGAATCACCAAAAGTAGCTAAGAAACTTGCCATGGGACAATTAGGCTGTATAAGAAATTGGGGGCAATTCCTTGTGAGGTGGTCAGATTGGCCACACAATTGACATGCTAAAGAAGCATGGTGCTCACGGACAAAAGTGGATTTACTTGTTGAGGTTTGGTGAGCCATGGTCTTGCTTGAGAAGGGCTCTGATATCACTATTAGCACTTAAAACAGAGACAATGGAGAATATTGCTGAAATAGTTTTCATATTTCTATCAAGCTGTGTGCTGTACAAATATATATAGGGAGCATATGCCTTGCGTCCTAATAACCCTACTGCAAAAGCAAATAAAAGATATGAATAATATTTACAATAATACATATCTAATTGAATGGAGATCAAGGATTGCTCATGAATTGATTCTTTCCTTAACAATGTGGACAGTTGCGATAGGGTGTTTTGCTATTATAAGTTGCAAAAGGGGTACCCCGTACCATAGGGCATCCCATCCTCCTCCCCACTTGCCTCCTTGTTTATTACTCAAACTAGACCATAATACTTGGATTTAGGGGAAAAATCAAGTACGAATGGCATGAGCTCTCTCTAACACTCCATCTTACATACTCTCTATCTGTATGGGACATATATAACATAAATTTAATGTGATTGGTTATAATTTTAAATTTTAAAAATATTAATTTTAATATCAATTACTAATTACTAATCACTAATCACATTAAATTTATGATTTACATGATTCAATTCGATGGAGAGTATTCAAATGAGAACATTAAAGAGAGTATCCCTAGCACTCTTCATTAGATTAAGGAGCATCTGGCCATAGGGGCTAGATGGTTGATGCACTCGATGCCTTGGCACCAACCAAGGCTCCGGCTACAGCGTTGTAGTGCTAAAATCCCTCTTCCCCCTACCCTAAAATTGCAATTGTTCAAAAAAAAAAAAAGAAGCTGTTATTTACTAAAAAACCATTATACCATGATAAACATTTTCCTTTCCAAATAATGCACTAGCATATAGTCATGTCCGGCTTTAATGAGGTGCTTCAAATGATTAAAAATGTGAGGTTTTGAATTTCAACCTTTGAGATAAAGTGGGGAAGAAATAAGAAAAATAAAGTGTTATATCCCTTATTACATAGCTTATCATGTGATGTACTAAAAAAATAGTCATATTAGACAAAAAGTTCAAGTGGAATATATTGTTTTTAATTTATGATCAGAGTGTCTTGGATTAGTTTTTAAGCATATTGAAATTAATCCTGATGAAATTAATTTCCACCCCAAGGTTTGAACCCTAACTAATAAGCTAATTTTACTCTAATAAAAGTATTAATCAATTTAATAACATAATAATGAAAATTAAGCATCACCTTACATAGATTGTAGACTAATTAAATACCAAAATTAATTAATTTTAATTTTATTTGAACAATTGAAATAAAATAGTTGAATGAACTAAATAACTAAAGTAATTAAAGAAAAAATGAATTGACTACTTTATAAGTGACACCAATAGTTGAAATTTTAAGGTATCTAATTTTATCGTAATCAACTAATATAAAATTTAGATTTAATATACCTCCAAGGTCTTTGTTACTCATGTAATAGCAAGATTTCTTATCTTATATGATATATTTTTTCTAGTTATATCAATCATGTCTTCAACTACTAACCCATTATGTCTCTATATGAATTTAAATAAATAAAAATGCATTATATTCTGTGAAATTTTCTAGTTAGTTTATATAAAAAAATTAAGTTCACTTATCATTATTGCTGCACGAATTATGTTGGTCTATCTCTAACTTTCATCCAATTCATTGTTTATATTACTAAAAGTTATTGCATAAATTCTCCTCTTTGTTTCAATTATATTCTCCTAATTAGTTTTAATAGTAGTCAATCATTAAAAAGTATTAAGAATAATAATATATATACTCTATGTGAAATAATAAATCTTAAATGTATAAATAACATAAAATTCTATATTAAATTAACCCGACTGCATTATAACCTTAAATGACTAAATTCGTTTATAATTAAAGAAAAGAAAATCAATATCTTATGATGAATATAAAATATTCTGATATCATAAAATAAAATTCGAAAATAAGTAAAACCAATTTGAAATTTATAAAATCTCAATTCCTTTTAGCCATCTCTCTCTTTATCTCCCAAAAAGCTAACAAGTTTAGTTTGAATGCGTATTTATAGAGCTTAAGAAATTCAATTAGAAAAGAAGTAGAACCTCTGACAAAAATAAAAGTTCTTAAAGCTAAAACAGCATTTAGTGTAGACACAAAAAAGTAATTTTTGACACTTGTTTATTTCATGTTGAACCTGTCTTCGGAAAAGGCTTAACGCATGGTGCTGATACCAAAAAATAGGTGTCGACACCAAACCTGTGTCGGTTTTGGATTTTTGTAATTTCTTTAATGGTAAATTAGCAGATCTAGTCCTCCAACTTTTATACAATGAAGACTTTGATCCATAGCTTCTGATTCATTCATTTAGGTCCCTAAAAGGCTCAGTCCCTCAACTTTCAAAAGATATTAAATTAATCTCAAAAACTCCTATTATTATGCATTCAAGTTTTTTTTTTTAATTTTTAGCATTCAAAATGACAATTATGTAAAATCAATTGAAAGTCACATCTTATCCATTTAAATAACAACAAAATCAATTGGTTAAAATAATAGATTAAAGCATATAAAATGCATTTCATTGTTGATCTACAATATTACGCTTATTTATTAGTAAATTTAATTCTTGAAATTAAAAATATCTATTTCTTTAACCATGTAAAAACTATTACAATGGTGATCCACAATTTAAAACATAACCTTGCTTTAACAAATATTTGTTTTAGAGGTTCTCAATCTAATTACAAAAACAAAAATTATAATATAGAATTGTAGAATTTCCAATTAAGAAATGTTCTCATGGCTAAAATCAAGATGATTTGCAGAGTTCAAACTGGGTGATAGCAGTCAGCTATAGATGAGGAGTTAAGTGGCAAAGATTCTATTGACATACCATGTGACTTGTTCTTATGCATATTTCTGTCTTCAAGAGTTTGATAGAACTTCCTCATCGATTCAATAGACATGCTAGAATTCAAATCCAACCCCACAATAGCAACCTTCCCTGTAAGCATGCTCACCACAGAAGTCATGACTGGCCTACCAACTAGAGCAGGGTTAGTGCGTAGCAGTGCCATATTTATCATTTTCATTACCTCCGTTTTGTTATAGTCAGATCCCAGTCTTGGGTCAACTAACTCTAATAAGCTTCCTTTCTCCTTCAGAAGAAGAGCCTGCAAGGAAACATGAAAGTTTATTACTTTCTTGTGGTCCAAGTTTCAACAAAATGAATATTGAAATTGAAGAAAGAATCAAAGAATGAGGTTGTTCGTACCCAATCAAGAAGATAAAAACTATCTTCCTTTGTCCGAGAATGTTTGTTGCTCCTTCCACTGATGATTTCCAAGGCTACAATTTCAAAACCATAAACATTAGCTTTATCGGTTAAGTAACCCCACATTGCATATTCAGGAGCCATGTAGCCACTATAAAGTTAGGAAACATAATATAATATATTTTATGTCAGTGACATTCAAACACTTCGGAAGTACTGACACTTACAAAGTTCCAGCAACTCGAGTACTACTATGGGTATTATCCTCTTCATTGAGCTTGGCCAGACCAAAGTGAGAAATTTTAGGATTTAGATCATTATTGAGCAAGACATTGGCAGCTTTGATATCTCGGTGCACAATCTTCAAACTTGATTCTTCATGTAGATAAGCCAAACCTCTTGCCATACCAATACAGATCTTTTGTCTTGTTGGCCAATCTAATTTGATCTGGCATTCTTCTGGGCCTCAGAAATACCA